ATATAATTTCATTACAAAAATATTGTAAAGTTATAAATTTGGATATTTTCATTATAAAATATTAGTTGTTTAACAAAAAAATAAAGTACGTTCATTTTTTACAGTTTCTTCAATAATAATTGTTACATTAGTAAATAATTAAAGAAATACTAAAGACCACTTTTACTATCATTCCAAAAAGTTATTATTCTGTACTTCTTTCATACTTTCTGCGAATTTGTTTTATCACTTTTGTATAAAGATTTTAATCGTTTACAAACAATTTTTGTATATAAGTTCTACACTTTCCTTTCCTTTTCACAATTATTATTTATATCTTTACAACTTTAGAGATCTAAAACTTTACTAGTTATTATTTGTAGCACATAATTAATTGAAAATTGTAAAATAAACTTTAGACGTTTGTGTTTGACATTGTATGTCAAAAGGTTAAAACAAATTAATCAATTCTTTAGTTTTGATCAAAAAAAAATCGATATTTTGTTTAAAATATTTACTTGGGATCTAGTCGATGGTCGCATTTACCAAACGACTTCTCGTTTGACAACCAATGGAATCATTTACGTAATGGCAGGTTTCCTTTGCAATTACAAAGTGAATGCCAACATTATCATCAGAACGACTAATTAAAGCTAAATTGAAAATCGTCCCCTTTCATCGATTGCGCGCTGTCTATATGCACATTCAGAAATGAATCGAAACCACTTTTGTAATTCAATTTAGACGTTTCCTGCACACACACATCGGAACGCAATTCCGTGTAACTTTCGGTTTTAATTTTAAGCGCTCGAAGCGACCGTCGCCGGCGGCAAAATCAAAACGCGATTACGTAATAATTGAAAATTGCGTCGAAATTGAAATCGCTGGCACGAATGAATGAATAGTTCAGCTCGAAACACCCGCGACATCAAGTTTGTTTTGATTCAGGACGACGTCGTTTGTTGATAAATAAATTAACTCGAAGCAGTTTGCCGTTTCAATTTATAATCCTCCCCTAAAACGCAAAGGGCGCGTGCCTTGTTTGTGTGTGTGTGTGCGTTTTGTGGTTTAATAAACGTCATGCGCAATAATGCCGTTCACGAAATTTAGTGGATCCTGTCGGGATGTTTTTGGGGGTGGAGGGTTGAAAAAAAAAGGATAGCTGTGGATGTTCGGACGCGTGTCCGGCGACAATAAAACATAGAGTCGCAGTTTTATAACCCTGTCTGTAATGGTCGGGAAAACCTGCAAACGCAGGATCCATTAAGCGGGTTAAATGGACCCTGAATTCGCGACAACGTCCAGCTCAACAAGGACTAATTAATGAATGCGCGCGCGGCATCAATGCGACAGTTCCTTGACGATCCTGCAAAGATCGTCCTTGTAATCATTTTATTTTATGGAGCGGTATGATGCTGATATGAGTTACGTGCCCGGTCGAATCTGCAAATCAGCGTCGGCATATGCAATTTTGGAAACCTCCGCCCTTTAAAAATACATCAAATGCGAAAATGAATGCGTGCACTGGGTCCTTCCGATGGCAAAGGAATACCAAAATACTCCTAACTCCCCCATCCACCCGCAACGTAAGGACTATTTGTTATTTTCGCATGCCGCATGGGAGAAAAGGATATATCAAAGGCAAACTGTCTTCCGACGCTTACAGAATAAAAACGCTTAGATCGATGGGATTACAACATTAAGATCAATTGTTTCACAAGATTAATCAATCCATTTATTCATTTTCTTTCAGTTTATATACTTAAATTATTTGAAAACTTTGTAGACATCATTAATTTCACTTAAATAATTTTTTTTAATTTTATTTACAACTTTGTAAAAAACTTTTTCTTACATTAATAAAAACAATCAGATTTTTCGTAAATGTTAATTAAAATTAAATAAATTGTAATGACAACTTGTGTATATTAATATGAATGTTAAAATTGCCTGTACATTTCTGTAACTTCTTGGTGATTCGTTTAATGAAGAGTCGTGGAAGTCAAAAGTAATGAAAGTAGGGTCGGGTCGCTTTTCGCAACTGAAAGGAAGATAATTTCGAGTTGAAGGAATATCAACGAAATGCAACATTTAATTAAACAAAATCTTGATAATTAAAGCGTTCCGCTTTGAAATTATGAAAGAAAAAATTTAATTAAATTGAATTTAAAGAGAGGGCACGAAGAAACAACGGCCGAGGCAATGAAAGGAAAGAAGGGGGAGGCGATGAAAAAAAGCAGAGGCAAGCGAAATGTGGATGAAAAAAAAAACGAGAAGGAAGAAGAAGAAGAAGAGGAAAGTCGCTGCGTGGAAGGTTGGCTAGATTAGATTAGCGGAAGGATAATGATAAGATATATTAGTAATCAGAGAGTGAGGGTAACAAGGATGTGTGGCTTTTTTTCCAGAGAGGGATAGAAAAGGAGCTGTAAAAGGGGTAGCAGGAAACTGCAGGGCCGCCCCCATTGGGCTCTGGGGGGCTGTAACGACGCGCCGCTCCCGAATACGACAGATCATCAGCTATACAACTCCGCTGCGCCGCAGAAAATATGCGCGGTACTTAAAAATGTAATGAAATATAAAAGCTTCATGCTACATTTACCGAAAGCGCTCCACTCGGATGATATTATTTAAGCGAAAATAAGAGGAACGCCGCAGCAGTTTGTTTTCTTATATAATTTTTTTTCCCAATCCCTTTCGCAGAAACATTAGGCTTCCATCGATTCGTCTGCTCTAATGAAGAAGCCGCAAAACTTTGAAAATTTTCAACTGGATAAGAACAAGAAAAAAAAAACACGCAAGTTCTACAATGCCTGAAATCAATTACAGCGCAGAAACCCGGCATCTATTCATCGCTGAAAGTTATTATTTCCTCTCCACTCGGAATTACATTTCTGCGACTTGATAATGCGATTGAGCGTGTTTTCGGGGAAGATCAAAGTGGGGAAAAATAAATAAACCTATTGAACTGAATCAATCTGAAAGCACGGACGGAGAAGTTTCACGGAGATTCCAAGAAATTAATTAATTATTCTTCTTCAATCTTTCAAAAGACTCGATTCTTTTGATTTCTTTTTTTATCTATTGCCATGTCGTCGTTATTTTAATTACAATCTATTTTGTTGGTAGCATTAAGTAAATTTGATTCCTGTTGACATTCATTGCTTTCATAGTAAATTTTAGAAAGTAAAACCAATTACGTTTCAATTTCAAATAAAAAAAAATCTATAAATTGAATGTATGTTACTCATGTGATTTTAGAAACAGTGATTTTTTTTTCGTATTTATTGTTGAGAGATGAATCATTTTCTCGGATGTTGAAAATAATAATTTGCAGTCGCTGTTTTTCGACGACGGGGGATTTGACGTTGCGAGGGAAAGAATACGTGCCGGCTAATGGCTCAACTTGACTTCAGCAAACCGAGAACTTTATACATTAATCTGTTAAAGTGGGGAAGCTTGTCTCAGCAGAACGTATGTTTCCATTGTCGTCGGTGTAAACTTACGGGCGCGCATCTTTTCCCAGCGATCGAAGGGCGTCGAGGGTAGGCAAAAAAAAACAGGAGAAAACCCACCCCCGCTCACTCACACATACACACTGCGAAAGTAGTTCAATCAAGATTAGCAACGGGGTTAGCGCGCGCGGCATGAAGTGAATAAAACTGAGGTAGGGCCCAGAACAAGAAAGAAAGAAATAAGGATGAAAAAAAAAAAAGAAGGATAGCAAGAAAACAGGAAAGTAAAGATGCGGAAACGCTATTTAAGTGTAAAGTGGATGATTGATATTATGGAAAGCGCGATGGCGGAGAACCGGGTGGGTGGAGGGTTTTTGAAAACGAGGGGGTTGATTGATTGAAATTTGGAGCGGCGCTAAGTCAAAGTCCTTCGTGTTCCCTGAGAAAATGCATAATTAAGCTAAACCACCCCCCGTTCGACCCGCGGTTTCAGTTTTATCGGGGGGGTTGCTTTGCTTTGGTTTGCTCTTGCCTACCCCTCCACAAATCAGTCAGCCATCAAGGCCAATACCGAGCAATTATATAAACAGCCACGGCACGGGGCGCTTATCTGCAGGCAAACACACATTACATAGATAACGCGAAATACGGGGCGATGTTGAATCTAAGCGCAGTGAGTTTCGTCGTTGAGGGTGGGGAAATAGGGGTGAAAAAAAAATAAATGAAGAAAGGATAAAAACAAGGAAAGAAAATTGTTGCACCCACGATTTGTTCCTTATCGGCCGCCGGAAACGTTTCATTAATGTTACGCTGCCAACTGATATAACAATTTCCTTGCAGCCATTTTTACAACCGCCCGCCCTTCCGACAAATACATCAATAAATAAGTAAGAACGAAAGGGAATACGTCGCCACCCCCACACCAACTTTATTTTATCACTTGATATATTCAAGCACATAACTTTAGAAATCCTTAGATCTATCACCTTATATACTATATAAATTTATTATTTATATACTATACATATAAACATATACAAATTGAAATTACTAGAGTGAATCGTTATTTGTTTGCAATAAGTAATTCAGCTTACATCACTGGTATTATGATAATTATTGAGCGTTCGCAGCGATAATATGAATTTATAGCAAATCCGATTAAAATGACCGTAATTTCCACGTGTATTTCATTGTAATTGAAATTAATTGCAATTAACGCTGTATGCGTTACTCTTTAGTTCAACATACTGATGCATCAATTTCTGTAGTTAATGATTATTGAAAAAAAAAAATCAAATATAATTAAATTATATGAAGTACTTGGTTTTGTAGTTTTTAATTCATTTTGGTAAAATAGTTCTACTTTAGTTTTACATTATCATTGATGTTAAGTCATATAGTATAACTGTTGGTAATGATGACTTTAAAAAATTTCAAAGTGATATAAAACTTTTAAGCTGTAGTTCTTTCAACTAGTTGATATTACTGTTAAGTATGAAGTTTGTTCTTGAATTGATTTATGAGAAGTGAAGTAGTTGGTTTCGTAGTAAACATAAGTTAGTGGCTTACCTTCGACGTAAGTCTGCGGCGGTCGGTAGGATACATCTGGAAAAGAGAAGAACAGAAAAAAGAGAGTATGAGAGAACACATCATTAATATTGAACAATGTAGAAACACAGGGAACACAACTTGATACTTTATGCACGTCGAAAACAACACTGAATACTAAGCCCTTATTGCACTTGTTCTCTCCCTCGCGCTCTTGTGTGTGTTTCCCCCCATCGTTTTCCCAGCATCCAGCCACTGTGTGCTCCACTCTAGCATTGCATGCCATACAAAGATTTTTACAAGCGCCTTAAAGATACGAAAACGACTTTATACTCGTGCAACCCTTCGTACTTCGTTACATGCATACGTATATATAGAACTATATACATCTGTGGATGCGGTGTGTATAAGTTATGTTTCACCAGACGAACAATTCTGTCAACCCCAAACCTTCAGTTTTCGCGCTATTAATTCAAATTGGTAGCCCTAGAATAACATCAGGTCTCATTCAAATAATTTGCTCACGTCCTCGACGACCGTGCGGCTTAACACGTTTCTCTCCTATCGGGCCGGCGGTATTTTTTTACTCGCCCTCAAAAGAGGAGAAAGACCGAGGGAGCAAAAAAAAGGGCACACACGAAAAAAAAAATGGAACGCACACACGAGATGCGAGAAAGGGGACCGCGAAGAAAAGGGCTTTTCCGCCCTGAGCTTCCGGTTCTTTTCTTACTTCACCCACCCCTTAAGTGGTATACATACAGCCACCAGCGTTTGAAGGCAAATATATCTATATACATTCAGACTTTAACATTTATATATCGACCTTTTATTGAACGTGTGCATCTAGGATGGCTCTTGGAAAATCTACTTGGCCTCGCCGTGAGATTACAATGTTACTACACCCTATACATTACATACTTTCATAAAAGGATTTCGTTGAAATATTGTTTAACATGAGAATTGATCTTGTTCGAGCTTAGAACATCAAGGGTATGTGAGCAACCGCGACGTGCGGATTATCGTTTGCCAATTGTTCGGTACGGCAACAATAGTTGAGAGAACCTTTCAGAATCAAAGCGCAACAATATGCTTGGATAGGAGCGATATATATATCTAAAAAAAAAAGAAACGAGAGGAAACGTTGAAAGGACCTTAAGAATGAAGGCGCACACCTTGCTAAAAAGAATATCGTTATTCCATACAAACGGGCGCCCGCTTCTTTGTGAATCTATTCTTTGAAGGGCTGTTTACTTACAACTAGGAATATTCAGTTATTAGGCAGAAAATAGGAAACAAAGGTCTTCTTCTTCTTCTTTGTGGCTTTCCGTTCGCAATATAACGTACTAAATCTCGTACAAGAGCTGCGCTTCGCCCACCCACTTTCCATTTTCAATGATTCATACCGAGTATAGCGGGGTGTGCATCGAGCAAATTCCCCTAGAGATTAAGTGTGTTTCTGTTTCCTCAAATTGAGTTACATTTGCACGTTGTATTTTATCCTATATTAGTATGAGTTTATTTCCGGTTTCATTTCGAAAATGTCACTATTCTTGCAAATTATACTAAAACAATACAACATAAAACAGATTTCAATGATACTTTTTCTTGAAAATTTTTATGAAATATTACGCTTTACTTAAAAATATTAATTTATATAATTTACTAAAACATTTCAAATTAATATTTTCATCTAAAACCAATACTTTATAAAGTTTAGTCCGAAAAACTTATATATTTTTCAATATTTTACCGAAAATATAAAATTAATATAAAAAAAAGCAATCATCATTTTAATGGAGGTGTCCGAGCGGAAAAACCGAAAAACGATACGCGCGTTCCGTGAAAAATGTTTGTTATTGTATAACAACAGACCCACAAAAAAAGGTCAATATTTATTTTTGGTATTGTTATGCAATACAGCGTAATCGGAGTAGACGGAAAATGGAATAAAACTATATACATGTATAAATAAAAATTAATAAAAAAAAAAAACAAATGTTTGTAATGCTAGAAACGAATGCAATTATTCAGATTTAATCCATTGTAGGTAAAAGCACAGTTTTTTTTTTTCATACTTTTATTTTATTCGCCTTCGTTGCGTATTAAAACAAAATAACTTTCCGCCCATTTCACATAATGTTTCACATTTTGCCCCGTCCCTATATTATTATTATTTTTCTCTATTTTTGCATTTCGTCATGTTTACATTCCAGTATTTGTTTCCACCGTGCAAACAAAATGCGGTTCAAAACCGCATAGATCCGCGCACACCAATTTTCTCTTCTGTTTATATTTTATTCGAGTGGTTTTTGGGGTCCGCTCGTCCATCGACATAATAATAATAATAATAATATGAGAATGTTTACAAACATAACTGAAACAGAGGACTATTGAAGTATCGAAACATGTTATTTCGATTATATTTGTTTTTAAGTGCGAAAAGATTGTTGGAAAAATATTTTCTTTTTCTATCTTTCTTTCTTTCTTTTATTCGTTCACATTGATTGTGCGTAATCCGATTTTCGGATTTCGGCTCTATATGCGAAATAACAGCGGCTGGTTTTGCTTTGCTTTGCGGAATAGTCGACGGTTAACTATATAAACCGCTCAAAATCGTTTGCGGTCGTCTTTGGCAGAGGAGAGGATTACAGATCAGGCAAGCAACAACTGGAATCAATAGCAAATGAATCCGTTTCAAGTCCCTCCTTATTGTCTTAGGCTTTGCGTTTAGTGAAAAACGGAAAAGGATTAAGCGGAAATTCATTAGCATATTTTACTTTACACGCAGATTTTATCTTTTTCTCCAATTTGGTTTATATAAGATGGAAGAAGATTTAGTGGATTAAGCAAAAAATAGATAAAATGGAAATAAAGATGCGTACACACTTCACGGCATTTGTCAAATCTAACAACTTAACGTGATAGATCCATTATCATGTAATTGGTAGTAATAAAATGTAATGATAGCAATAATAGTACCAACTTAATATATGTCACTACATTTACATTACTTATACTTACAATATATCATGGTTAAATTATGTATTCTTTTCTGAAATCTAATTGAAAAAAATTTCTTTTACAAATATTAATTATTGTGTACAGATCTTTATATAAAAATGTTTTCATATAAAAATTAATACTTTTAATAATGGTACATTTTTTTGTAAAATATAAAATTATCGATGTGTTTCATCGATGGCAGATGACGAGGGAAGCTTTATGTGTGTTCCGGTGTCTTCGTTTTTATTTTATTTTTTTGTTGCCGGTGAAAAAGATGAATTCCCGTCAAATGACCCTTTAATGTTCTCATAAAAGCTTTATGTTTGTGTGGGACGGGAAGGGTTGTAAAAAAATATTGAATGATTTCAGGTGGTTGGAAATTAGTTTGTGTGCGCGAGCCGCCGCCTCCCATTAGCATCGATCAAGCCAACAACGTAAGACTTCAATTTCATTAAGTAGTTAAGGCTCGTACAAACTTAACCAACCGATTGGGCATTGATCCGTTTCTATTACGACCTTTATTCCCTTCTTTCCTTTTCTACAACCTTATTTAGAGCACTGATTTTATTGTTTCAACGTTGATTATGTTTTCTTCAACACCTAAAGAATATATTGAAATCAAATTTATTTATTTTTATCAACTTTGAGAGTTAATTATTATATACAAATATGCAGATATTGAAACCCGAACAATTTACTTTAATTTGAGTATTCAAAGAAACCATTGGCATGAGTAATACACCAAAACGTGAAGACACTGCTTAAAAAAACGTTTTTGCGGGTGTTTCTTACGTCGTGGGGCAAAGGAGTAAGGAATGCGAGTTTAGTTGGTTGGTGGGCCATTAGCATGGATCAGGAATGTACGATTCCAATTTCATTAAGTAGTTATGCGCGCTGAGGTATCTGCTTGTAGCGCCCCGCAGCAGACTTAACGAGCTAACTTGTTATTACCATTCGACGTCGGAGTGATACGATTCCTAGGCACGCTCCAGCTCGGTTTTGTAGTCCTTTAAAACCTCTGCCTTCCCCTTAGGTACCACCAGCTACCTTTAAACTAAGTTCATTTAGTTAGTTCCATGATGTCATTATCCTGACTCGTTATTATCAGCGGCGGTTTTGATCCTCGCTGCAACAGAGAGAAAGAGAGAAGACAACTCCACCCCTCAAATCTCATCCCATCCCTATCCACCCGTAACACCCTTTCGGCTTCCTCGCGAGGTGGGATCGCGCTTTGTTCACATGATTTAATATGTTGCGAATCCAGGCGTCGCTGAATGGGGGGACGAACGTAAAAGGCAGACATGCGATGGCTTTACCCTCCGATCGATTTAGCCCTGCCTGGTTGTAAATAATAATTAGGTATTATTTCCTAGCGTCAACCAGCATTATATGGGTTAGCCGTGGGTGTGCGTGCGATAGTGTCTATATATGTATGAAAGTGTGTAAATAGTGAGTTAGCTCAGTAATCAGTGATCGGCGCCCATCGATCACTCTCTTATCACTGCGATCGTGATGTCTCTATAATAGCATCGCACAACACATGCTGGGAGGACTACACGGGATGGGACGTAACGGGACAGACCGGGACGGGACTAAATGGAACGGGACGGACCCGTCCCACGACGGAAACTGCGAACACACATTATGCGATCGTGACTTTTAGCTGTGCGCCTGATGCCGATCACTTTTCTGATGAAAAGGGTGTCCCGCGTCGCGCAAATTGTTTCGACTATAAAATCGGTGGCCATAATTGAAAAGCGCTTCAGCCGGATAACCAACTCAATCCGTACAAACACATACACACGATGTACAAACACATGCACACAACGTACCCTCTCCGAAACACAAACTCCCTCGCACACAGGATTTTATTATATACTCCTCGTTGTTTGCTTTCGTTCTTTTTGCTTCCTCTCTCTTCTTGAATCCTTCCCCCAGTTTCTCCCTTTATACAGGAAAAGCGAGTGAAAAATTCGCTGATACGAGCTATTAAACACCAAATTTCATCGGGACACCTTCGCTCTTGTATTCTTTCAGGCAGACTCCAATCCATCGGCAACGCATAAAACAGTTTCCGTTTTACTCGTTGACTTCTTTTTTTTCTTGAACAAAAATAAAGCCCATATACAAAGTCAAATATTTTTCTTAGACCCTTCTTTTCTTAGGGTTCCATTCTTATTACAAACTTACTTTTTCCATCACAAAATAAATTAAAAAGATTAAAACATTTTTGTTATCCAAAATTCTATTTACATTATTCTCATCAAATAATTTCATTTACATTTTAGTATGTACAATATTATTTATTTTGCAGGATGGAAATACAATTATTAGAGTCAATAGTCATATTTATATTAAATTTCAGTTATGTATTCAATACCCAATTTAACTTAGAGAGTTTTTCAGGATTCTCGTATGGATTAACAATAATTTTTGTTACTGTTTTTTTTCCATGTTTCTTTGAACTAAAAATAGCTAAATCCTGTTTCTTAAGAAGTGTTGCAAGATTGGTAACAAGTTTGTAGTAGAGATCTAAGCCCGTTGCAGATTGAATACGACCTATATCAAAAGAGTTATTGTTTTTATCGAGTTCGCTGCAACGGAACATTAAAACCGGAGTAATATTTAAGCGGCAGTTGGAAATAAAACATCCGCGCGTCCCGACGCCGGTGGCAACGGCAATAAAAACAACAACATTCCTTTTACGATCCATGTAAATCAATATTGAAAAGTTCTACAATATTTCCAAACACAAACTTAATAATTATCTTAATGAACGCATATATATATATATATATTATATTCAGAATGTTTGCAGGATGTTTGCGAAACCCTCTGACCAAATATTTAATTTCTAGAAGAGACGAGGGGGAGATGGATTAAGGGAAGATTAATGTTGCCTGACGTCCCAGAAGAATTTTAATATCATTTTAATGAATCGATTCAAGCATTATCAATTCCCGGGACGTCCGAGCCGCCGCCCTCCAAGAAGTGCAACTAATGAACCCCACTGGACTTCTTTATATCCCGTCAGAATTATGCCCACCCTCCAGTTTCAGAGCGCTCCATGAATTGAAGCCATTGCGCCACTAAAACGTTTATGGTGGATTACTGATTGGATTACAGGCTGCAACCATATGGGCCGAACGACATTATCGGAACGACTTAAAGGGATACACCATCAAATGGCATATGGCTTAACTAGAAGGATTATCCACCCTTCCAGCAATGATTCACATTGGGAATAATATACAATTACAAAAACTATGTATTTTTTTTGAGCGAGGAAGGACGGACAAGTAATATTGGCGACAATAGGAATAGTAAAAAGTTGATGGCGAAGTTGAGGAGGGAAGAAGCGGTCAAAAGTTTATATGGTTGTGTCAGGAAGAAGGAGAGGTGGGAGTGGAGTTGTCGAAGGCGATCGACAACGGTTTAAGTTATATGAACGAAGGGGGTATGGAAATTGAGTGACAGCAGACGCATAAACGAAATGAGAAAACTTTGAAAAGTTGAATATAACGCTAGCGAAAGTATGGATTAGATCTAAAGCCTTGTAAGCCAGAACGTCGTGATATGAAGCTGCTTCCCGACGATAAGTCACTCCAATAATGCTATAACAAAGCGTTTATACATATATATTATTATATACGTGTAAACGTTGTTATTTTTCTGTCTCTCATCACTCACCTAAACTCGAGTTACCTTTCAGTTTTAATTTTATGAAATTACTTTTAAATAAAAACTCTACAAACCTGACAGCTCTTAAAATAACTAACTGAAAGATACACATCTTGAGATTATATATAAATTATTATAAATTTGCGATGTATAAACTTGTACATGAAGCATTGAATCCTGCAAATATAAGTTTTTTTTTGTGTGTGAATGAAATCGGTGTCACGATCATGTCATTTTGATGTCCTGTCGTGCGTCCTTGAGGAGGATGACATTTAGACGGTTAAAGGGCGTCTCATTTTTCATGCACACCGGAGACGCCGCCGCTTCGCGACTCCAATTAGATCTATGGCCAACGAAGTGGCTTCAGGTTAGGCTCAATTAGGCTCCGCCGCACCCAAGGCACATAGCATAGCATTAGTCGCCGCTTCCGCAACGAACACAAGCACACGGATACAACCATACACGAGGCATCCCATACTATACCATCCCAGGATCCGCCTCCACCTAACCCCGAATGCTTTTACATACATATACATCGACTAACAAATCTATACATCTCGCATGCAATGTTTAGTAATATCTAATCAGCATATTCCTATATATAAATATATATATATATATATATATATACATAAATATAATATATTTTGCATGCATCCGGGTTCTGTTTTTGGGAATAATGCACTCGCGTGTTTTCGAATCCGAATTATTCATATTGCATAGTTATTTGCTAAAGTTTCAAACAATTCACTTCACTTAAAACGTATTTATGGATTCAATTCAAGTAAATCACAGCTTCTGTTCTGTCGTGAATTGTCAACTTTAAACGGGACATATATAATTCAGCACTACATATTTACACATGCTATTTACTACTTCACAAATTCCTGAAAACACATGCATTATTTAATAATTCAATTTAGCAGAAATCAAATCGTTTCAATTTGTTTTATCTCTGCATTTTCGATTAATAAATATAAATAATTTTATATAAATTTATACATATACATGCAATAAATAATGTACTTGAATTTGCCTCTACTTATATACTTAAGTTGTAGTTAGTGTGTATGCATTTCATAGTTTTAGCAAAAATAATCTCTAGAGATGGTGTAATATGTGCGGAACGTAATATGTGTAAGTCGAGGTATTACCGTATTCTGGAGGCTGCTGCAAGTAGAAAACGCAGTTAAGAGTTAAGCATTTGCGCAAGTGATCCAACACAAATTACGTTTTACGGCGATTTGTTTTCGCGACTCTAATAGGATCAGAGCCGCATGCATTCCAGGAACCGAACCGAACCACCACCCCCGAGTAATAATTATATTTATTCCCAAGTATAATTCAGAGGCGAATTAATACGGTATGCAAATGAATATGCTATTCCAGGCATTAAGTCGTCGTGTCCCGAACCGCTTCGCTTGTGTTGCATTTATTCTTGTTTGTTTGTTGTTATTATTAATTCTTTTTTATCCCCTTTCTTTAATTTCCCGCTGCAAGTATTCTATGTGTGTTTGTGTATGTACTTTTTTTTTAATTTTGTTTCGTCATATTATTATTATTTTGAAATATAAATGAGGATATATAATGGTAGAGCGCTCATAAATAGCGGATATAATCACCTACGCGGTGCGGTTGAAAGTCGGACAAAAAAGGTCCGGGCATAACAAATTTCAAAGTTCTAATTAAAGTACGTGGACTTGCGGCGACGTCCGTCGAGGGTGTTGTTTGTAGTGTTTTTTTTTTGCGTTTCTCTGTGGGTATTTAAGCTTGCACACGTATATGTATATATACATTTGGATACAGACACCTATTTACAGACAGGCTAGAGAATGCATGCAATACGGTTGTAACACGTACAGTTGTAGTACAGCAGGATACCAGACACGAGTACGAAAATCACAATAAGTAGTACGAGCAAGAGGAGCAGGATTGTCGGTCTGCACCAGGACACCAAGCAGGACTCCTCGTTCTCGGGAGCCGTCGTGGATGTTGTCGAGGGAGCACAGCAGCAGCAGCAGGAGCAGCAACAGCAGCCCCCGTCGCCATCACCGTCTCCTTCTGTGCCGCCTTCAGCAGCTACGGGAGCGGCAGTTCCACCAGTCGCAGCAGCACCTGGTGCTATTTCAGCTGAAGCGCCAACCTCTACGTGTTGAGGTTGAAGAGGTTGCGGCGGTGGTCTTATCACGCTCGCTATACCTGTAGCGTTCACCATGACCCCATGGTACGCTGGACTAGGTCTTGGTAGAAACCCGTCATCGTCGTCCTCGACATGATGTCGTCTTCCAGAGTCATGGTACACTCCATAAGATGCGACCATACTCGCTGCCGACGGCGGCCCGTTGTTGTACCTCATTTCGTACCTCGCCGCTCCCAAACTATAACTATCATATCTAACTCCCGGATAGCGCGCAATTTTCTCCCCCGCCCGCACGTTCCAATTACTGTTATACGGACGGGCTGAACTCTGTATCAAATCCACCGTCTTAATACCGCATTCGTTCATCATGGCATCTCTCTTTCTTCGCCGCCCTATTGCGGTTTTCCATCCATATACCGAACATTACCTGCAACAAACAAAACAAAAACACAATCAATAAACACCCTTATTTTCAATAACACAATAATAAATACTAGTAAAACCTTTTGCTATAATCTAACATTCATCTTAATATTTAATCATATACTCCCATCTTTCAAATTGATATACACAACTTGGATAAAATTGATAAAAAATAAATATAAAGATATTTTTTTAAATTATTGTAACAATTACAAAATTTGATTGAGAAAAGTATTTTAATTGAAATGAAAGGAAAATTGTACAATTAAGTGAACGTTTAGTAATTTTCCATAGAAAAGTTGAGCAGGTGAAATTACAAAAAGGTAATGAGTTCTATGCGGTTCATATGGAAAGTTTTGGAGTGGCCAGATCAAAGGTGCGAAATGAAGGGGGTGGAAAGTGAATAGAAGTTGCTTAATTTCAGCTTTCGGTGCGGGTGTGTTAACCACATTTACGGGAAATTTAATATTAATTTATTAGGGGGTGAGATCGAGCCCGAGTAATTCCATCAATGCGAGTTATTTATTTTTAAGTTAATCACTTAGGTTAATTGCTTTTCATATTCGCGCCGCCGCGCCCCTAATTCAATTCGGCCCTTGCAGTTTGCACTCAGAGCGGAGGCAGAGGCGGCGGATACCCGAACTTTTACCCGCTTGCATATTTCATCTCACCTGCATAACCCAATACCTTTGCTATTTATGTGAATATACATACAAATATCGATATTTTTTTGTATTGATGTTAAAAAAATCTTCTGTGTCCTGGATGATATTATTTTGTAGGAAAACAAAAAGGCCGTGTGCTCATGACAGGTGTCAACGTGAAAGAGGTGTATAACCCACTCAATATTTAATTGCATGCAGGAATGGATGGGTTCCCATCGAATACGTGTTGCATTTGATGAGAACCCGTGTGCATTGTATTTGGAACTAATTGCCACATAAAATATGTAAAACGGACTCCGGTATTTATACCAAGTGCATTATGCACTTTATCATTTGTAATCGCATTAAATCGATAGACTAGCTTGTATGGCCTCTCAGTGCGATAAGTCGCCAGTGGAGTGCATTCCTTTTTCTTTGCGTTTCCAACCCCATTTACATCCGGTCATTACTAACCATGCCATATGCATACGCGATGTCTTCACAGCGCTAATGCTTCTTCAAGAAACGCCCCTAATTTCCATGAAAACTTGTACTCTTTCCCTTAACTCCCTTTATTCGCCACCCGCGTTTTAAGTTCCATGACTTCTTTGCAACATCAGATTTTCGACAGATTAACATAACCCTTTTTGTTTCCAAACTTCATTAATTACATATTGAACTACAGCTCGGATTGCAAGATGGTTGATGCAAGAGTATACTTTGTAGGTTACATCTTGAAAGCAGTCATAAACTTTTATTAAATGGATCTTAGAGATCTTTTTAGGGAGCATTAACTTCTTCAAGGGACATTGACTACTTCTGACTATATGTCAGTAAATCACTGAACTTTTTTATAGAGACATCTCAATGACGTAAATTTTACTTTTTAGTTTCAAATTTAATTCAGTATTTTAACAAATTGTTTGAAAAGGGGTCGGCAATGAATTCACTAATATTTTTTTGTGTGTAAAGTATCTGTTATATATGAGAGAAACTGTGTCCGCGAAAATAGAATAGTGGTGTATTTGGATGTTGAGGGTTAAAAGAGATTTAGTGGTGCAAATATAAATTATTGCAAAATAAATGACAATAATTTAGGGATCAAGCCCCCGCTCATCCAGAGAGGGGCGACTGGAAACTTATGGGACCCGCGGGAAATATAAATAAATTTGTCCGTTCATCAGGACCGCGCGCGTCCTGCGTGTATGTGCGGCGATTTCCAAACAAAGTGAAATGCTTACGAGGGGCTAAATTCGGCGAGGGCGCGAAATGCAGGATTCCCCCAATTTTTTTTTCGGGGTGTTCGTACACATTTTATGTTTATTTTTATTATTTTTTTCACGTGGGCTTTTCGGCCGTTGTTCTCCCGTTTCTCTGCCGGTGAAATGCAAAATGTGTGCATTATCATATTTGGGTTTGTTGCATTATTTATAGCCATGAGTACTTTATTTACAGTCCATTACCATAAATCAGTTTTAATGCAATTCACAATATAAAATGTATGCGCGTATGCCGGTATGTGTGCGCGTTGTGTACGTATGTAATCCATTGTTGTAATTAAATCGCTGCTTTATATCGCGTATTGTTGTCGGAGCTGGAAATTTAATTAAATCAGGTTGTAAACAGCGTCGACAAGAAGGTGTGCGTCGCCTCCATAAGCACACGCATTGATTGCATGCTAGTTTTCGCGCGATATCACCGGAATCGATTGCTGTTATCCTGCGAGTAGCTGGTTTTTGGGGGGCGGCATCGCCAACACCATCGCCATCGGCAACGGCGGCGGTGGTCGTCGACCGCCCTTTGAAATGGGTAATGGGCCTGTGTTGGCGGTTTATACAAAAGGCAAATAGCCCGGTGGTTGGAACAAAGGATACATATACACACGGCTGCGGGACGAGAAACAGCCGGCTACAAGGTAGCACAAGGACAGGCGAAAAATACGGAGATAAATGGTCCATGACAGAGAACAAGATTGATGGAAGTCGGCGCCCGCCACCTCCGCCGCCTCCCACAGTCGCACGGGGTGGCAGGGACCTGGAGCGCCGGCTCGGAAGATACATGTGTCGATGCGGAAATACACGGACACTGCAGGAATTCAATACTTATCGCGCTATTGTTAGGACACAACACCTCCCTTCTACAGCGTCATCCAAACCGTTCAACAAAAATATCTTTAATTTATTGCATATCTTTTATTATATTCACTATTCTATAGCAAATTATTAGAGCATTGAAATTTTCCAACTCAAAAACTTTTAATCCAGATTTAGTAACAAATATAAATAAGATTATTGTACACCGAAAAACCGCAATTTTGCCTTTCCAGCTTCGCTCCTTCAACACAGTATGTATATATATATATATAAATAAAAAAAGAGATGTATTTTTCTCTTTCTTGTCGTCTCGCCTCGATGTATGTGCGTGTATGTGATGATGTTGTTTTTTTCTTCTTCTATTCGTTCCAGCTCCTTCGTCTTTCTATTCGCCCCATGTTATTTTTTTGTCCCTTCGTAAGGGGGAAAAATGCCCTTCGGAGCGGCGAACACACCTCGCTGCACCTTCTTACAAATATAACGGCCGCCGGCGCCGAACAAACACATTCCCCAATATTTTCCATCAAAAGAGTTGACATATGGCTCGGACAAACCGAATTAACTTTACCTTTCGAATTTTCTAGACAAACGCCCACAGTAATCTCGATCCCAACGACGAACTCCTACATATTTCATACGGGTTGACAGGAGAAATCTCCATCAGGATAATAGCTCGTAATTAAAGTGACGCGTTGAAGAAGAAAATGGTCGCAAAAGAAAACCAAACAATATATATATATATATATATATTTTGTGCCGGTCACAAAGAAACACATGAAAACTGTTAAAGGACAAAGCGAGGTATCACATATTTTTCACCTGCAAAACATTTTGTCTCATTAAAAACGCAAACTTATGCGGTCCCTATTCAGTTGCAAGACACACAATGCTGCCTGCCTTCGTTTCAATTTATATATTTTTGTTGCCGCAAGAGAAAAGCGGATTTCTGCTGTTCATTTTTGTCCTTCCACAGATCACATTAAAAATAATAATAATATGAAATAACTTCGACTTTATACAATTTACAAATTTTTATGCAAAATAAATACAAGTTTAATCTACTCCTTCACATTTGTCAATAACACACGTATATTTATGTCACTTTAAATCTGCCTATTTTGTATATAATATAGCTTGAACAGTTTCCAAGAAAATTGTATTTAAATCGCGTGTCGAAGACTTAACATACATTTAAGTCAAAGACTTCGAGTAATCTTGCATATATGCATTTACAAATTATATTTGCATTTCCATTAAAAAAATATATGAGCTTATATTGGAAAAAATGGACACAACACCTTCATTTGATAAAATTTTTAGAATATTTTATTTTGCATTTCAGTGGTTATTCAGTAATAAATTGATGTTATAAAAGAAAATGTTACTACTTTTGCGTTGTTCTATTTTGTGTGGGCAAAATAATTTAGCGGACATTGATTTTATGTCACTGAATCTTCATCGCCTCGTTTTAATTACGCCACCTGTCACACGATCCGACAAATATGCATTATACAATATATTGGCAATTATATCAATTGTACGCATTTCAGGTGTGCTCTCAACTATATGTAACTTGTATAAAAATTGATGAAAATAACATTTTACAACAACAACAACAAAAAACATGTAATGAAAACGTCAGCAAAATGTTATATTGTGCAAAATAATCTGGTTTCATTCGAGTTCAATTCAGATAAATGTTATTATTTTATATTTAATAGAAATATGCGGAGCGAGTAAGAATTTTGAGTTACAGTAACAAGACCCTTGTTAAAATTGCTATAGACATGTCTGTATCCCCTTGGGACATCTGAATAAAGATTGATTGTGTACTAAGGTATGAATGGCAGTGTAATATTCAGATGACACGTGTGCAGTATTTGCATTATCAGGAATTGATGAGGGTGGCCGTAATTAGCTTGGGATTCGGATCAGCTTGAAGGAATCAATTCCCGGATGTGATGCAATATTGATGTGCGGACTAAATGCGAGACAAGGTAGCCCCATGAGGAACTGAAGCAAAAAAAAAGAAACAACTAATTGCGGAATAATTCAGAGTTATGGATCCGGAAGAAATTTCGTGAGGTGGTTTATCTGTCGGTGAATTAGTTACAATACTGTAAGTAATCCACTTGAGCCAATACACTAACACTGATTACCGGTTACTCGGTTGCGAATACACTAATTCCAATGTAGTTCAATACTAATTGAATGCGCTTAAATTTGGGACAGCAAATTGAATTGCCACTCGGATAAGCGCAGCGAGA